TATAAAAATTGATACGTTAATACAATAATCATCTAACCAACTCGTACTCGTAAAACGAAAGATAAACTTATCCTTTTTAGAATAAAAACTTTAAAATCATGTTGCAGACGCTTCGTCCAATATTCTGAATCTCACAAAAGAAATTTCGACCTCAATGTTCACAAAAATCTTCAAATAAAGAAAATATCGAAATATGTACTATGTTTCGAGGTTAAGTGATTCCCAACTAACCTATACGGTATATATACTCCCATAACTCCATCTTCCGTCGATTAGACGTTACTTAACTCGTGTCATTGCTGATCTTGACATAGCATCAACGAGAACGAAAATAACGAGGTCGAACTCACTCACCGAAATAAATTCCGGGTTTCTACAGAAATCTGATAACCGAATGCATCGTGTGTCTGTCTCGTAGGACAACAGTCGATAAAGCAACTGTCCCATAAGGAGTGTTCATAGGGCCCATCCGCTGATCCAATACGCACAGGTACCCAAGTCGACTAAGGCCGAGAGATTCTCGTCTTGACACCGAAAGTACCATCAGCCTGACGACCATATGCCAACGAACTCGTCGCGTGTCAATGGTAAACTCGAGAGGGTTTGGAACCGAGCCGGGAGAGTGACTTACAATGGAATTATCGAGTACAGAGAGTGTGTCACGCAGGCTAGTGACTAGACTCTAGTGACTAGGATCTTACCAGCGATCACGAAACGATGATCGAGGAAACTATCAAGTTCTATTTATAAGTAAGGCAGATGAGAGATCTTCGCTTTTTTTTTTTTTTGCTCTACATCGGACAGCGTATCTTAGTACAAAAAGCTCACGCGACGAGCTAAACTCGAGTATCTAGCTGATACCTAAAACTAAAGTTAGAGCATCCCACGGTATTCCATGTTGGAACTAATTAAACGAGAATAAAGCGAGAATAAAGTATAAAGAACGAAAAAGTTAAAAGTTCAATCCAACGAACTGACGTAGAATCAATTTTGTGGTAATAGTGAATTTATGAAAATACTATGAAAATTTGCGAGAAAAGTGTAGCACACTTGATGCGATATATAATTAATATATAATCAAATGTAATTTTCTTATTAGATTCTTTCCAAAATATATTTGCACCAGGTTCGTAATTAAATTGTTACAAAAATATTTCAATGACGAAAACAATTCATACACGTAAATGAACTACTAATTGTAAGTATTTATTTCTGAACTAGATCCTTCCTAGTTTGGAACTCTACGTCCCGTGTATTAAATTTAAGCAAGGAGTTAAATTAAGCACTCCTTAAAAAGGAGTCTTTAAATTCTGCACCTGATACACTCTATTTTTAAATAGACTTCTAATTAATTTACATTTTTATTTTTAGCCCTCTAGTTAAATCGGAAACGACTTGCTCCGTTAGTCAGCCTTAACAGCGATATTTTTCGTCTATAATAATCTTTTTATTCGGCGTACATATTTATGGATTCGCAAACCCTAAATTTTCCAAAAAAGAAGAAGAATTGTACCAAACTTGCAACTAAAATTATCTTACATTTCGCGAACGCATCTTGAAACTTCGACAAGTTTACTTTTTCTAAGTTTGCAATACGTAACGCCGCCATTGTTATAAATAATGCACGTTCCATTGCGGAATAGATTTTGAAGTGGTGAGTAAGATTCATTAAAGATTCATTTTGGACACGGCGCTTAATCAGCGTGGAATGCCGCGATAATACATATATTTGCATGCAGTACGTGTACAGAGGAAAAAGAGAAAGAACTTTAGTGGAAAGGTTTCAGTTGGGAAAACAAAGAGGAATCACGTACAGAAGCATAGAGAATATCTTTGTGAGAAGGAACTTTGGGCCAAGATAAAGCGACAGTGCGAGAATGCAAAACAGACACGTTATTATTCCACTATTAACAACGTGATTATTAAAAAAGTTTTTCTCTCTGTAATTAATTTGTTTACAACGAACGAAATGAATACTGTATGTTTATTATACCGACTACTGTGCCGAACGATAAAATTCTGCTTTTATTATTATAATATTTTCCTTCATTAATACATCCACCTATTAATTTAACGATTTTTCTAATTTTATTTATTTTTGGTAATTACGATAATTTTTTGAAGAAATGTAGATCAGTTTTTAACGAATTCGACGCTATATGGTAGAAGAACTATGACAGACGCTTTTATTTATGGTTTCCACGAAGAGTTCAAATTTTCTTTTAGATTCCAAAATTTTCCAAAAGGTTACCGATAGTTTTATCGTTGTTAATTTGAGGTTATTAATAATGTAAGGAATAGAAGTAATCTATATTAATTTGATTAATAAACAATAATGCGTTGACGTACATTTGATGTAACGTTGAATGGTTGAAGACACATTAAAATGTCGGTTTACAAGACAAGGCAATTCAATTAGACTTCGATTAATTAATGTGAGAAACGTTGCGTAATCGTGCACTTGCGAGGAATTAGCAGAGAATTCCTAAACGTCTTATACCGGTAAATTAATTTTTTAAAATCCTTCCTAAATTCCCACTATTTTCACCGTGTCTGTTATCAAAAGAGACTATATACATTGTTTGAGCAACGTGGAAAGCGTTTTTTATTATTAAGAATCGAAAGCAATAGAGCTTTCAGAAACTGAAATGTATTAAAATTTTAAAGGAAATTATTTTATACTTGAAATATTCGAATTATAAGATATAAATTAGTAAGCGACGATTTAGAAAACTGGTATGACCTTATGACATAACCTCACGCGCTATAATTCTAAAAATCGCGATTGTCCGATAAGAAATTATTAAAATCTTTTTCCTTTGGGAAAAATTGAATGTCTTAAAGCCCTACTACGTTAGTCCGTTTTGAAGGACTGGACTGAATAAAGAGGTAATAAGGTATGAATTCTGAAACTGGCGGATTCAAATATTATCCACGCTCAATTTAACTTATTGAGGGTTACGAGATGCTGCTTGATGGCTCAAGCTATAATCGCGTAACAATTAATCGTTGAATGAAATACCTTTGTGTTCCGTAATTTCTTGCCATTTATCAAAATTAATGCCTTGATGTTTCTGTAAAATACATGTTTTTGCGGTAAAAATGATTTCCGTCGTTTATTTAATAAGCTATCTCTTTAAGTTGCATGTTAATTGTTTAATATAGAAAAGAATTCGATGTATACTTATTTTTAATAAATTGTTAATAGTAAATTGTTCATTTGAACAAATATCGTTAAAAAGGAAATGATGATAGAAACATCCAAGAATATTATAATCTTATTTATTTGTACACGTTTGTATTAATATTTATAAAGAAACCTACATGACTAATAATACATAGAAATTAAATATTTAATATGATATTCTGTTTTTAACAAGTGTTACCTTTGTATATTTTAATGTGATGTGTACATACATACAACGTAACATGATGATAATTTCGAAATTTTAAAAAAGGTAATGGTATATATTCTTCATTGGAATATTGTATAATACTTAATCGATTAAATTAAGTTTAAATAGCTAAGCGTAAAACTTTCAATAATTCGATAATACATTTCGAAATTTGTAGTCAAAACTCTAAATATGATGTTTATGAAATTTCCTTTAGTTTTAAAGTCAAAAGAACTTTTTTCGTTATGTTATGAACTATAATTTATGTTAAATGCATAAAAAAATAATATTACGAAAACGGACATAATATATTTAGTGAATTACGCCAATACAAGAATTATTATAAGTAGTATAATTATAATTCATTATTTACTATGGAAGTAATTACTAATCCTGATGATTTATATTGTATATACAGTAAAACTTCAATTATTAGAACCCCTATTAATGGATTGATTATCGAAACGTCAATTAACCGAAAATTTAATTATCAAAACTTCCAATATCAAAATCGAATTATCATCCAATATTCGAATGTCCTATTACGTAAATATTATCGTTTAAGAAGAAGAATCTCATGATTTCTAGAATTCAAAATTTAAAGAATATGACAATGTCGATGATGAATATCTAAGAAAATTTAACGCATGCTCACGTCGATACTGATACGAATGATAATGAAACTGTAGAATGAGTTAATGAATGAAACAAATGTAATGACAATGAAAATATTACACAAAAATAATAGGAAAAATGCGAATACAATTTGAATTCTATTCCCACATACTCAGAAGCATTCGTTGCTCTAAAAATAGATTTAACATAGTTTCAAGCATAAGCAAAAAGCACCGCCAGTGAAACAATAACTTTAAGAAAGATCACTGAAACGACAGCTAAAAAAAATTGGAAAACTAGAATAGATATTAAAGAGAATTGTTAAGTTATTATAAGCAAGAAATTTATAAATTCGATTATTCCGAACAATTATATCGTGTTTTAGTCCTGATAATAGAGGTTCTACTGTATTATTGATACGTAATAATTCTAATAAAATACCGAAACATAAGAAACATAAACGCGTCTTAAAAGAATTAAAATACGATTAAAATTATACTATTGACAGGCTCGCATTATAAATAGTTATATAGGATGTCCAGCTTGATATTACAGCAACTTTCTAACATTACTTTTGTGCTTCATAACAAATTTCTTTCATTTTCGTTTATATAATAACAGTTTAAGAAAAATGTCCCAAAGGAAAATTAAAAATGTGTTTAAAATATTAGATATGATACGGTATAGTTAGTTTAAATTTATTGCCTTTTACGTCGATTATAACAAGATCCAACGTTTGTTTAATTGAACAATAATACAGCTACTTCTTAAAAACCACACATACTAATACTCAAATCCATCGCACGATGTTGCGAGTTAATCGAGTTTATATATGTATTCATATTTTAATATGAAACCGATATCTTGTATAAGGCAAATTTCTTTATCCATCCTTCATATGTATTAATACATTCTTGTTAATATCGACTTAAAGCTTTATTAAAAAGCGATTAACTCAGGATGCTATAGTACACCACAATGGTAAAAAATTCACGTGTTTTGTACTAAGCTTAACCAACTTCGACTTTCCCCACCAACTGATGTTGGAAATCGAATTTGGACTAATCGAACAGGATTTTTATCTTCTTCCACTTCCTTGTACTCAGAAGTATTTGGTACAACTATTGTTTCTCCATCTTCAGTTTCATTATAATTGTACACCTCTTCTACCTGTTCCGAGTCCTCAGCCTTGCACTCCATTACTTCATTTTCAGTGAAATTCATCTAAAAATTATAAAATTTCAACCTATTTAATATACAATGTGTTACATTACAGTATACCAAATAAGTATATGTACCTCTCCGTCAACGAGATGATTCACTTCCTCATCTGCAACACTTTCTTCTGTCGGAATATTTAATACATCTTCTTCGTTATAAATTTGATCCTCGTTTTGTTGCTGTATAATAACATGGTCTTTTAATTCTGTCACATATAATTCAGTTTCATCCAACTAGAAGATGATAAAAATATGAAGAAAATTAATTATTTTTCGTAACAGATATAAAATATGAAAAAAATAAACGTATTTAATTACCTGATCATTTTCTGCTTCATCCACTAAAAGTTCCACATTACCATCAGAAATTGTTATAACTTGATCATCTTCTGTAGTCAACCGTGGTTGATTAACTACAATGGTGTCATTTAAATGACCCTAAAAACCGTTATTCGTATATTAAAACCATTGCATATGTATAAAATCTTATCAACATAATATCAGAGAAGCTCACCTGAGTTTGCATGTGAGCATACAATAAAGGTTTTCTCATAAAACCCATTCCGCATACTAAACATTCATACGGCTTTTTATCACTGTGTATAAATCTATGTGCATTTCTATTGTCTCGACTGTTAAATGCTTTGCCACAAACCTGAAATTGCACAATGCCATTTTAAATTAAAATAGGTTATTGAGTAAGTGATAAATATAAAATAATTTTTACTGTAAGCACCTCACAGAGATAAGGTTTTTCTCCAGTATGTATGCGCATATGCTTCTTGAAATGTTCAGGATACACAAATGTTGCTGTACATATATCACATTTATATGGTCTTTCACCAGTATGGGCTGCTTTTATATGATAGTCTAATAATCTTCGCCGTTTAAAACCTTTTCCACAATCGTCACATTTGTACCGCTTATCATTATAATGTGTTGCACGCTTGTGAGATTGTAAATTTGATCGTTGACTAAGAAATTATAAAGATATAGTAAATTATTCCTACATTTAGTAATAGATATACAAATAAATGTACCTAAATGTAGCTCCACAAAATTCACACTGATACGGTTTTTCTCCAGTATGTGTTCTTTCATGATCCCTTATTTCAGCTTTACGGGCAAATGCTTTACCACATACTCTACATATGTATGGTTTGTAGCCTGTATGTACTATATTGTGTACTTCCAAATTATGTGGTGAACCAAATGCTTTTCCTATAATTTTATTATTTTCGTCTGTATTATAAAATTTCACAGTAAATGGCAGAGAACGAATAAAAGAATAAATTAATAAATCATACCACATTGATGACAAACATATTCCTTTACACCATTATGTGTTCTTTCATGCTGATTAAGATTTTGTTGACTTAAAAATGTTTTATTACATTGTGAACACTCATAAGGACGAGGTCGAACTTCATGTGTTTTTACATGTGCTTTATACGTATATTTTGAAGCAAAATCTTTACCACAGTTTTCACATACATATGGACGTACACCTGTATGTGTATTGATATGTTCCTCTAGCAAGTTTCTGGAACTATAAAAATAACAAATTACGAATTACACGAGTTTATGCTACACAAATATTTCAAATTTGTAATTTATGTATACCTATATCGTTTACCACAAGTTTCACATGGCCAAGATTTCACTTGTGGATAATGTATTCTTTTGTGAATCCTAAATAAGCGCAAATTACTAAATATTCTATTACATATTTCACACTGAAAATCTCCTTCCTCTTTAGCAACATGATCATCAAGATGAACAGATAGTTCATTCCTCTTTTTAAAATCATCTCCACATATGTCGCAAATATATAAACGAGTTTCATGCACACTCCTCACATGTGCAATAATAGATTTTGCATCTCCTACTGCTTTATCTTCATCGTTTGGACATAACAAACAAGTATATATAGAACCATCTCTAGTTACAATCTAAAAAGCAAATAGGAAATAAAAGTACATTATTATTTTAATATGACTGCTTGAACATAATTGTTAATTTCTTACTCTTTCCTGTGGAGGTTCAATTTTTGTTGTAACTTTTGTCCGTCTTATCCTCTTTCTTTCTTCACTGCTGCTTGTTTCTGCTATAGGTTCAACTTTGAGAATAATTTCCTCCGATTCACAGGAAGGTTCCATACCTTCATCTTCTTCTTCTAATCTTTCCTCTCCTTCCATCTCTTGCATTTCTAAGTCATCCTAAAATAAATTTTGAGGTATTATGATAATAGTTATATATATATTATATATATATATATACACATAATGGTAATGTCAATGGTATAACTCAATACTAAGAGCTTATATCTCGGAAATATCATAAGCTAAAAACACATTTTGGTAGTGTTTTGAAATCATCTTCATGCAAACTATTAGATTATGGAGAGAAAAATATAGGCTTCAATTTAAAAATTTGACATTGGCCTTTGTAAGTATGTTCAAGGACATCACAAGATCAAATAAATGACATTTGGATTTGTCCCCCTTGATATAATACAACTTTTATCTCAAACATTTTTTTACATCTTCTGTATCTTTTGAGATATTTGCCTGGGAAGATTAAAATAGAACACCCTGTATATACAACATTACTTTGTTTCATTTATTACCTTTTGCATATATTTAATTTCTCCATCTGTATCTTGACTTTCTGTGTTTTCTATATAATCGTGATCATTATATTCTTCTTCATTTTGAATATCGGATATTTTTTTAATAGTTTTTTTATAGTTATTGAACAACTCTAGTTTTACCTCTGTCAGTCGACTTTCAAGTTCATCAATCTGCAAATATTAATTATCCGTTAACTATCCTTATATAATTCTATAAAATATAGCAATTAATATCTTATTTACTTCATTAAATAATTTATAGCACTTTTTACATATGACAAGAGAATGTACATTCTCTTCATTCAAATCTGTTTCTAAGACAGTACAAATGATATCTAAAAGTGGTTTCTCTGATGAAGTGACAGAATTTTCATTAAAAATACGTATACTATTCCTAGTAGATACACCAACTTTACTGTTACATATTAAACAGTGAGTACTATCTTTTTCTGAATCAGCTGTCATCTTTTTGGCAACTGTAAAAGCAATACACATATTAAAATATCAATTCATAATTTCAACAAAGTAATAGAATTGAATGATTAATATATATATTTATAAACATAATTCAATTCATTAACATTTGTTAATATTATATTTAAAACATAATCTTAGAAAAAAAAAAAAAGAAAAAAAAAGGAACATCGAAATAACGTATTAAATTATACCGTTATTCTATAAAAAAAGAACAGTTGCGGTACTTTGCATTTCGCGGAATAATTTTTAACTTTCATGATTATACGATGCGAGCAGGGGCAGAATCTGTTAAAATAAAATTTTTGCGATGGTCACTTCTTATGTAATAGCATACGATGTGTACTGAGGACAAGAAAGCAACCATTGATATCGTTATATCGTCGAACAATAACGTATCCAATGATTTATTCAACAAGGGAAGCAACAATAAGTAATGCAACGAAACGTCCAACAAGATTGCTTTCGTTGGAGCATGCAACGAAGCATTCTGTTTTCTACTCGCATCGATAAGTAACCGCTAAAATCCAATAACCCTAACAATAACGTGCGAGGAACAGTAAACAAAATATTTGCCTGCGTTCCTCGTCAAAATGAAGCCTTATAATAAACGTAAAAAGTTGCCAGCACTGACTTGAAATTTTCGTGTCTCTGTTCGAACGATTGGCAGCGAGCAAAACGGCAAACAGGTCTTGATGCCAACGCCATTTAAGTCTTCATGACAGGTAGGTTAGTTGGTTCCGATGAAAGTCTAACGAAAAGTACACACTATAACGATTGTTACTTTTTGGAACGTAAACGACAATTTGGTGTCGCCTTCGCGTTAGGTGGAGACACGATTGCGTATGCACGCGACGAATGCCCTCTATCGGATCCTTTCTACGCATAACTCAGCCATATTTTATGAAATTTCTGTTCTTCCAAAATGTACAAAATTTTAAAGAAATAATTTTATCCATTATCAAACGTTAACAACGTTTGAACATATAGGTGCTGTTGGATATTTCAGTTATCAAAAATTGTTTTATTATCATTTAAAAGAAAAACTTGTTTGTTTAATATTCTTTATACAATAAAATTTAAATATTTTAACAGAAATATATACAAATATAATATAACATTGTTTTATTTCTGTTTTTTCTATTAAATTGGACGAATATTAATTCGGGCATAATGACTATATACATAAAATATTTAATATAATATTTTTACTTTAAGATGTAGGTTTTTTTTCGCTTTATAAAAACAATTCCATCAACCAATCACAATATCTCTCTTTTTTCTCGAGTATCCACTCTTTTCTCTGTAGATGCACGTTCAAAATGAAATATAGTTTATGAATCTTCTTGATCAGCGCCAATTTTTAAATAGTAATATGCCGCTCTATGTCAAATATGTCCATAAATGGAAACCGGTAATCAGTTTGTAACATACATTGGTACTTGGAAGTTGTCATTATTCTATGGGAAGACGATCGATAAAAAAATAACCAACAACAACGTGCGCGTGGTTGATGTTACTTATTTTTATCAAGTGATTTCTGTAGTTACTTAACCTTTTAATATCATGTTAATTCAAAACTTTTTACTGATAATTTCACATTCATGATTGTGGCGCTTATTTTTTTAAACTACCAATTAACAGCGAATAAACAAAAACGCGTGGTTATCATCAAGTGTTCGTGCAATTTTGTATGAAATGAACAGAAGGGAGTCGACAAGTAGATACGGACCCCTCGTTGGTGCAATTGATGAAGGAACAAGCAGTGCTAAATTTTTGGTATCAAAATTTTAATCATAATTTGTATTGTTAAATTATTATAACTAAATTATTATAATTTTGTATCTATATTTTAATACAATACATAACGTTTGTATTGAATGAAGTGTAATGTATTTTTAGAATCTTTGTGCATACTTATATCATCATTGTAAATTACTAATTAATACAATTATATTGGAAAATCCTTGAGAAATTCTTAGATAATAGAATATAGGCATGAGCCTTGGCATGAGCATTTTCTTATTTCATTTTAAATTGTATATTTATTACTACTATATTAACACATGTATTGTTATTTTAGGTTTTTGCTGCTGATACAGCTGAAGTATTAACATATCATCAGTGCCCAATATCACAGTTTTGTCCAAAAGATGGATGGGTTGAACAAGATCCTATAGAAATATTAAAAGCAGTTAGAGAATGCCTCTATCATACAGTGTATAATTTAAAACGGCTTACCATAGATCCAAATGACATAGTTGCAGTTGGTATAACAAACCAAAGAGAAACTACGGTTGTATGGGACTCAGTTACTGGAGAACCATTATATAATGCTATAGGTAATCATTAATCTGAGAGTTTTTTTTATATTTTTCTTTTGATTGCAATTAGAAAATATAAAAATTTAATTCACAATTTTATAGTATGGATGGATATGAGAACTACTTCAATGGTGGATGATGTATTAAAAAAGATACGTAATAAAAATAAAAATTATTTGAAACCACTTTGTGGCTTACCAATTAGTCCATATTTCAGTGCTTTAAAATTAAAATGGTTAATAGAAAATGTACCTCGAGTTCGTAAGGCTCTGGATCAAAAACGATGCATGTTTGGCACAATTGATTCTTGGTTAATTTGGGTTAGTTTAATAATAATTATTTATTAAAATAATATAATAAGTATATATATTGTGCAAAAAATAAAAATATTCTGTTCTTTATAGAATTTAACTGGAGGAATAGATATTGGCATTCATGCTACTGATGTCACAAATGCTTCAAGGACAATGCTAATGAATATCACAACTTTGAAATGGGACCCAACATTGTTATCTTTTTTTGACATACCTCCAGAAATTTTACCTGAAATTCGTAGTTCATCAGAAATATATGGTTATATACAAGATAATGTTTTATTGGGAGTACCAATATCAGGAGTAAACATTTTTTATATTTGTTTTATATACTTATCTTAATATATTTATCAGTAAGATGAGAATTATTCATAAATTAATATTTATTTACATATACAGTGTTTAGGTGATCAGCAGTCAGCATTGGTCGGTCAAATGTGTTTACAAAAAGGACAAGCAAAAAGTACTTATGGTACAGGCTGTTTTCTTTTGTACAATACAGGGACTGCTGTAAGATTAATTTTGTTCTCCTTCAAGTTTATCCATCATTTAAATATTAATGAATAATTTTGTAGATTGTAGATTCAACTCATGGGTTATTGACAACAGTTGCTTACCAATTTGGACCACAAGCAGCACCAGTATATGCTCTTGAAGGCTCTGTAGCTATAGCTGGTGCTGTTATTCAATGGTTGAAAGATAATCTTGGAATATTGTCTGATGTAAGAGAGTCTGAGACTCTTGTTGAACAAATTCCTAGCGATAATCGTATTACGTTTGTACCTGCATTTGCTGGATTATATGCTCCATATTGGAGAAAAGATGCAAGGAGGTAAATAATGTAATGATACAACATTACAATTATGTTATAATTTATGATTAGAAATTTTAATTAATTTTATTATCACATATTCCTTGCAAGGTATTTAACATTTCAGTGTTATATGTGGGATTACTGAAGATACTAATAGTACACATATTATAAAGGCAGCTTTGCAAGCCATTTGTTTTCAGACAAGAGACATTTTAGAAGCTATGAAAGAAAACACTGGTTTAATTTTATCTAAATTGTTGGTAGATGGTGCCATGACCAACAATAATTTGTTAATGCAAATGCAAGCAGATATTTGTGGAATTCCAGTTGGTAAATAACCTAATTTTCACCAGAAATTTAATATTTGTAATAACAGAAAATAAACTAAACTCACTTATGAAAGAAATACCTAATTAATTGAAAAATTTTACAAGGAAGTGAGGCCTTTGATGTGTGAAACTACTGCACTTGGGGTTGCAATAGCTGCAGGAAATGCAGATGGTATACGTAAATGGGACTTAAAAATAGATGCTTCTGTACCAAATGACACCTTTCTACCTTCAATAACTGAAAATGGTACGTGAAAAATTTGTCCTAATTTTTATTTCATTTAGATCATTTAAGATAATTACATTTTATTTAGAACGAGATATATTATATTCACAATGGAAAATGGCTATTAATCGTAGTTTAGGTTGGGAACCAGTAAATAATACTAATGGTATGTTTTCTTTTTCATATTAAAATTTTGCTTCTGTTAATTTACTTGAAAGATAATTTCATTGCAGATGACACAGGAAATATCCACAAAGCAACTGCTCCTGCTATTTTTGTAATAGGTACAATTCTTTTGCTTATGATTGCCAAGTATCATTCTGTGTTATGACTGAATGAGTACAGTACCGTGTACATAATGCATTTAGGCAGGTCCTGTTTGCTAACAAATATTTAGATTATTATTTAATGTAAGTATATTGGTCATTAATTTTTGTGAAAGTAACATTATTCATAAGTATGAAGAAATTAACTAAATATGAAATACAAATAAAGGTGCCATAATGCTGATAATTTTAATGTCGAATGAAATATGAAAAATCAAGAAAATGTTGGACATAAAAGATTTAAAATCTATTTGAAAGATCGATATTTGTTGTTATTATCATTTGGGATGCTTAAATCAGATGACCGAACGTCGATGATTTGTGCTCCAATGTCAGTTGTATATTTTTTTGTTCTTTTGTCCTTTTTACTTGCGATTTTTTTTACATTTGGTATTATAGGAATATCCTTTAAAATTATATAAAACATATCATTAATAATTGATAGGATAACATATTAACAGTTACAAGATAAAAAATTATAAATATTACCGTTAAAATGTCAGTAGTAGAGGTTTGTACTGTAACAACAGATGCAGCAAGCCATACATCATTTCTTATATGATCGATATCCAGCCGAAGTCGTTGCGGTACTAGTATTCGTGAGATAAGTGAACGACAAGCTTGAGATACATTAGGTTCTTTAGGAAATGCAACTTTATTTTGTACTTGCTATATCATGAAAGAATGGGATGAAATAATAGAATTTTTATTTAAGTGATGTTGTTGTATGAATAAAATTTTAAGTTAAGCTAAATTTGATTACTTTTTTCTTTTTTATTTTTATTAACTTTTTTTTCTTTTTTTTTCTCTTTTTTTAATGTACCTTGGTACCTTTAGGAGTTGACTATAATTTGCATCGTCAAATGGTAGTCGACCATAAACCATTGCATAAAGTACTACACCCATGGACCATACATCAGACAGTTGAGGTAAATATGGCACACCCTTCAATATTTCTGGTGACGCATATGCGTAACTCCCGCAAAATGTTTCACTTAATGCAGCTACACCGTTTTTCGGTTTCATCTGTCCACGTGCAAATCCAAAATCAGATAATTTAATATTGAAATTCTGATCCATTAGAAGATTTTCACATTTGACGTCTCTTAAATAAAATTATGTAATTAAATATGATGTCAGCTAATATTTATTATTAAATTTTTACCTATGTACTACACCACGTCCATGACAATAATCGATAGCTTCTAATAATTGCCGAAACCATCGACGACTACGCAATTCATCAATAAATGTATCGCGTCTTATCATATCCAATAAACTACCACATTGAGCATATTCCATAATAATATAAACGCTAAATATTGTGAAAAGATATAAGTTACTAATAATTTTCTTAAGAAAAAGAATAAAGTGACTAACCGATGGGTTGTTTCGATTGCTTGAAGAAAACGAATTAAATTTGGGTGTTTTAAACCTTTGACAACTTCAATTTCTCGAGGTAAAAATTTTTTTAAATAATCGCCGGGAGCTTGGAACTTTGAAACAATTTTTACTGCTACTTGACAATCATGTCGATCAGATTTTGCAATCTTTTATTTCAAATTTTGTCAAAAATTTATTAAAATGTAATATTGATTTTTTAAATTTCAATAAATAGTTTACATAACATACTTTTACAGTAGCATATGATCCAGCACCTATTGTTTTACCAAGAGTGTAACCATGTGATTCGAGAATGGTCAATTTCTTTTCTGATTTCTCTTCATGTTTATCTTTTTCACCTTTTAATAAGGATTTAGGAGAGTTATCTGCTATTGGCGCAGTTGCCATCTTATGTATAAATAATTACTTTAAATACATTTTAAATTCAAATAATCATCATAAATACATTATTATGCTATTAGTAATATTTTATATTTGCATATTGGTTTCAATACTTTCGACAACGCCATTTTATTTGTTGAGTTACATGTTTGAATGGATTTTTCAAGAAAAGTTAGAGTATCATAATTTGTTAATTTGGAAACTGTAGATTGAAATTTACCGCGATGCTCTTCATGACGTACAAAGGTCGACTACGAACATTTGAAATACGATTATTATTGATATTACTATAACTTCATGAAAAGAATAACAAATGACACTTTTCATAATTAATGGAATGTTAACAAGTATTGTCATAAACAATATTAAAAAATTCAATGCGTATATAGAAAATCATAAAATCTATATCATTCATATTACTATTGGTTGCATTTCTTTAAATAAGAAATTGCAAATTTATATATTTTATATTCAATTATTTAATACTTATCTTTTTTAATTCGTAAGTGAAAATAAGATGTATATCTAGATAATGCATATTTAATGTCTACAGACTGTTGTGTTCATTACATGGTCATAAACACGGTATGTGGCGAAGCGTATGTGTTGATTAGAAGAAAATATATAGTAATTAAATTATGGCAGATGTATTAGATATTGATAATGCTGAAGAATTTGAGGTCGATGATGAAGGCGATCGTAAGTTTGATTGTATGCTTTTTTCCATGATTTTATGGTTATATATACATAAGCGTCATTTGTTATAACCTCTTTAGTTCATGATTTTATTTAATAAGATTGGAATTATATATTTATAGTTATAAATAACAGTTATCAGTTATATTATTTATATTTTTTTAGAGGGTATTGCACGTTTAAAAGAAAAAGCAAAACGGAGAAAAGGAAGAGGTCATGGTGCAGAGTTGGTGTCCACTCGTGATGATGTTGGTCATTATGAGTCTATGAACGTTATTGAAGAAGATGACGATGAACCAGGGCCACAAAGATGTAAGGGAGTATTTTAAATATTTTATTTTCAAGGAAGTATCAATACAATAATAACTGCAACAAAAACTTGAATTTTATGCAATGAAAGAATCAAATTTATTAAATATTTAATTCTGATATATCTACAAAGAAGTATACATATTTTTTAGCTGTGGAAGGATGGATTCTGTTTATAAATTCAGTACACGAAGAAGCTCAAGAAGATGATATTCAAGATAAATTCTCAGAATTTGGGCAAATCAAAAATTTACATTTAAATTTAGATAGAAGAACAGGATTTTTGAAAGGATATGCTCTGGTAGAATATGAAACTTTTAAAGAAGCTCAAGCAGCAAAAGAGGCTTTAAATGGAACAGAAATCTTAGGGCAACCTATTTCAGTTGATTGGTGTTTTGTAAAAGGACCAAAAAAGTAAGATTTTCTTATATTTAAAAATATAAACATCTTACATTACAAATATATTTGATTATTTAAATTTTATCAATATATTTGTTATTGCAGAATTAAGAAAAGGAGTCATAGAAGACGATGAAAGGAAACAATTATTAAACAATATTTTTATTCCTTATGTATGACTACTTAAAATAAAGATTGTTTTGTAAAAACCAACTTTGTTTTACCGATATCATAAAAAAAGGGACAAAGTATTGGATATAATATATTTTTAATAATATAAAAAAAATTTGGGAACTTAGATAAGACAGTACAGAGATTATTATAGATAATAATTGATTTCATATATGTAGTTTCATTTTTAAATTTATAAATCAGGTTAAATATGTAAAACTCCTTCATAAATTTTAATACGATTTATTTCACAAACAAGATTAGTTTCTTATTGAAATTTAGTTTTGTTTACAATTGTTGCAGTCTATAACTTCGGTTTTTATAGAATGTATCTTAATAAATAAACCATTAAATGAAGCATATTAGACATAATGGTTAAGATTAGCTTTCTTTTTAGCTAAAACTTCATTAATAGCTTCCATTAAATCTTCATGTGTAACTGCTGTTGCATTACGTCTCAATGCTATCATACCCTACGAAAAAAAAAAAAATATGAAAAATTTGTTAATACTTCAATTATATGTCATAATTTAAAAATATAATTCTATATACCGCTTCCACGCAAACGGCTTTACATTGAGCGCCATTAAAATCATCAGTAGATCTCGATAATTCTTCAAAATTAACATCTGGAGACATATTCATTTTTCGTGAATGAATTTGCATTATACGAGCCCTAGCTTCTTCATTTGGATGTGGAAATTCTATTTTTCTATCCAAACGACCAGATCTCAATAATGCTGGATCCAAAATGTCCACTCTGTTTGTAGCCGCTATAACTTTAATATCAGCTGTTGAACTAAATCCATCTAACTGATTTAATAATTCCAACATAGTACGTTGTACTTCTCTGTCACCAGCTTTTTCAGAATCAAATCGTTTAGTACCAATAGCATCCAATTCATCTATGAAAATGATTGCTGGTGCTTTTTCCTTTGCAAGTGAAAATGCATCTCTTACTAATTTTGCACCATCTCCAATAAACATTTGAACAAGTTGAGGCCCTGCTAGTTTTAAAAAAGTGGATTTTGTTTGTGCAGCACAAGCTCTAGCTAATAAAGTTTTGCCAGTTCCTGGTGGTCCATACAAGAGTACACCTTTAGGAGGCTGAATACCTAAATTCTCAAATTTTTCTTTGTGTGTCATAGGTAAAACTACAGCTTCTATTAATTCTTGAATTTGTTTGTCTAAGCCACCAATATCTGAATATTGTTCTGTAGGTCTTTCATCTACTTCCATAGCTTTTACTCTTGCATCATATTCAGCAGGCAATGTTTCAAGGACAAGGTAGCTGTCTTTATTAACACCGACTAAATCTCCAGGTTTCAGAGCTTCAGCATCAACTAATCCAATCACAGGCAAAAAATATGTTTGACGAGTAGAAGTTTTAATAACTGCACATTTGCCTTTTCTTTGTGCATCTAAATCAACAACTGCACCATCTTCTTCCCCCATATTTTGAGGGTCCACATCTAGCAACTCTATAACATTAGATACCAAATAAGGCAAAGTTTTATTAACTTTAATTTTCTCTGTGTTCTCTTTAATCTTATCATTTTGTGCCTGGAGTTCATGAGAAATACGCATTACTTCACTTTTCATAATTTTAATTTCATTGTCTAATAAACGTGTACGAGATACAATTTCATCTGTAGACATTCTCCAAACATCCTCGCCCAAAGCTTCCTATGAATACATTTATAGAAATATGTTTATAAATACATTTCTAGATTAATATTTCCAAATGCAAATAAAAGATTAGTGTAATTGTTTTAAATAAGATATAATTATTTCATTTATTTAAAAATATTTTTATAATTGTATTAAGACTTATTTTTTGTCAAGTATTTCGTATTAAATTCTTCGTAAATCACATAATGTATGGCAGTATATTATTCTACGAGGTCGTTTAGATATGCTTGTCATTCTATCCTAACCTAGAAGAAATATTTATGTAATTTATACCTCTCCATCTTCCCAAAGAGATTCATCCTCAAGACTAGCCATTTATTTAAATATATGTATTGTTTTTGAAATGTTAAAAATCCAAAATTTTCTATAAAGTTTTTGAATATTCTTCACAAACTTCACTTAATAAGAACTTTATCAGCTTCTCTGATACAGTTAGCAGAAGTTTATGCTACCTTATGATTCGTTTCTACATTTTCTTAATCTATGACTAAAAGTTTGCCATGGACATTCTTACAATTTTTATACTTATAGTTTACAGTTACGATATAACATAAATAGTGTAAATACAAATTCATGAATTGCAGGTATTAATGTCAGCTATAATGGATTAAAATATAAGATTTTTTAAACTTTTTACTGTATTTGATAAAAGTGTTTCTATGTAATAGAACAAAATAGATACATATATAATACATTATTTTATAAAATTATGGTAGAAGATGTACTATATGTTAATAAATAACTAGCAACTATATTATTTTTAACGTGTAAAACCGATTTATTGTTTTATCGTGTAATTACCGTGATTATACTATTACATTCTAATGTAATCATGTAAGATATTATTACATTTTTATAAATAGTTATTAATAAAATATTCTTAATATTAAGGGGGGGGGGG